TGGGGGGGGGGGGGAGAGAGGTTTTAGGGTTCGGGACTCCTACCACCGCCGAGTTTAGCGTAGTTTTCTCTGTTTTGGCAAAGTCTTTTAGTAGTTTGGCATAGCTTAACATAGTTTTTGTGGAGTAGAGTAGTGTCGGTTTCCGCAGGGTATTTCCTTCAGCGCAATTGTAGTTCAGATGTCCAGCATAGCAGTCTGTGAACACAACCGGAAGCTTCTGTGTGCTGCGCTGGGAGCAGGTCTCTGTAGCTGCGAGCCGCACTTCCCCAACTATGCCCCTAAACCCTAAATCCGCAACCCTAAACCCTAAATCCGAAAAGCTGAACCCTCAACCCTAAATCCGAAACCATGAGACCCCTACATAGGCCTTTCTGACCTCAGCTCGAAAGTTCCGAATCTGCGCCCGCCTGTGCTTGCTCGTTCATGTGCGAGGCCACGACCATGCCCCGACCTTACAGGGAAACGGAGGGTAGGGGAGTGGGTGGGAGGGGAGGGAAGGAGGGACAAAGAAAAATCGTTCATGCCCGAGACAGAGATTGGAAGCCCCATGTCAGCCGGAAGTGCTAAAATGCAAACCTTAATTAAACCCCAAACCATGACACCCCCGACATCCCAAACCCCCGAATCTGCATAGATTTCGTGTAGAACCCTTATATCAACTTATATCAGATGCAACCCTCAACAGTCGCGTCATGAGACTTATCTATGGATCCGTGCCTGCCTCTGCGAGTGTGCGTGTCGAAACCCTGCATCTGTGATATCACATGCAGACCTGCCGTGCCTGGCTTGTGATGCAGGCCATTTTTTTCTGTTCCGAAGCTTAAAAACCTGAAAAACCCTAAACCCGGCAGGGTTTAGGGTGTAGGGTTTAGGAAGTTTAGGGTTTAGGGGGTCTCCAGGGTGTAGGGTCCCTGGAGAAAGCCTAGAGCAGCCCCTACAATCTCAAAGCCCCAGATCAGGTGCCGAAGCTTTGGGGGATTCTCCCAGAGGCACATCGAACCCCAGAGGCCCCGAAGAAGCAGAACACCCTCGAGCCCCGAAGATAAGAGGCTTTGCCCCTCGAAGTGCCCACAGAGAACCCCCAAAACCCTCAAACCCTTAAGCCCATAACCCCTTAATCCCTCACCCCCTAAACCCTAAACCCCCATCACCACGCCTTGCATAGTACAAGACAAGGCAGTCACTGTTAGTTTCACGCCGACCTGCACCTATGGATCCTCGCCTGGCATGTCCGAGTTGTGAGAGCGTACACCCTATACCCTAAACCCTAAAACCCTGAACCCTAAATCCAAAAACCTAAACCCTAAACCCTAAACCCCCAACACTACGACGTAAAGCCCCCGGCTAAGGAACTCGCGATCCTCCCGGAGCCACGCCTTCTTCAACTTTAAGCCGGGGACCCTGCTTGGACAGGTAGAAGCGGTGAGTTTTCAACGGGGGGGTTTCGAGTTTCGATGCCGAGAAAGTGTGGGTTTCGGGTTTTTTTCGATAAGTTCGGTGGCTTTGGCGGGGCTATCGAAGTTTGGGGTCAGTTTTTGGGTCTGAGGCTAGGCTTAAGACGCGCTGTTGGTGCTTTCAAAACAGGGCTTTGGGGCTTTCGGAAACTTTCGGGTGCTGCAGGGTTCAAGAAAGGTTCAAGAGGGTTCTATTCTACAGGGGTTGTGTTCGGGTTCCATTTGGTATTTCTCTGAATTAGGGTCCCGTTTAGGGACCTTTTTATAAGGGTGCCGTACTATTTTGGGGCTTTAAAAGGGGACCCGAGTTTAGAGAACTACCATTTTCCGTTTCAGGGCTTTCCAGCAATGGCCGTTTACAGTTGCATAGCATAGGCCCGTCGTCCTGAGGACCGCCTTGTGCCAGTGCCCGAGCTAGGGTTTAGGAGGGTTTAGGGCTTATGGTTTAGGGCTGAGCCCTAAACCCACACCCCCCCACAGCGGAGAAACCCTATACACCCCCACAAAAGCCCTCGTGCAGTAAGCCCTAAACCTCGCAACCCCTGAAACTCCTAAAACCCAAAGCGCTAAAGCTTAAAGCTCGCCGAAAAGGCCTCTCAAGTCACGGAAAAACCGATCAAACCCAGCTGAAATCCCAGAAGGAGCTAGAGGCCTTAAGCCCCTGAAGCGGGTTTTGCCCCCAACAAATCTTTACAAGCTCACTAAACTCACTACACACCAGCTACAATATCCAAAAGCCTTCAAAAACCAAGCCAAAGCCCTAAACCCGAAGCTCATCCCGAAACCTTAAGCCCTAAGCTTGCTTTGTAGGAATCCCGAAAACTCGATCCTGGGTCTTTCCAAGTTAGGGCTCGGTGTCGAGGCGGGATTTTGCGTTGCAAGCTCTGCATGGTCACTTCAACCAAGCAAACCTCGCTTGTGGGCATAGATCTCAGCCATGCGAGAGGAGAAAAACCCTAAGCAAAAGCAAAAGACACACACACACACAAACAAACAAACAAGCAAGCAAGCACGCAAGCAAGCAAACAAACCAACAAACAAACAACCAAGCAAGCAAGCAAGCAAACAAACAACCAAACAAAACAAACAAAAACAAACAAAAACAAACAAACAAACAAACAAACAAGCGAACGAACCAACGAACAAACAAACAAACAAACAAGCAAACGAAAAAACGAACAAACAAACAAACAAACAAACAAACACACAAACAAACAAACAACCAAACAACCAACCAACCAACCAACCAAGCAAGCAAACAAACCAGCAAACAAACAAGCAACACAGAGAGAGAGAGAGAGAGAGAGAGAGAGAGAGAGCGAGAGAGAGAGAGACAAAAACACCTTAAACTCAGAAGCCGCTCCAAAAAGAAATTCTGAGGTATGAGCAGCTTCCAGAAGCAGCTCCGAAGGAAGGCCTCGCGCCCAGAGCTCTTGGAATGAACACGTCGAGGCGTATGTAGGGGCCATTCAGGTTATAACATATATAACGCAAAATACGGACGCCACATATTTTGCATGAGGGTATGTGATACTTACTTACTAAGTCCCTCGCCCATCCGCTCATACCCTAAATTCCGAGACGCCGCTTCCTTAAAGCTCTCAAGATTCTCTACATGTGGGCTGCCATGGCGGAGCTTGAGCCGCCAGAGCGTGTGGGCGACCCCAGAGGACCCTCGGGGACGGTTGGGTTGAGGGTTTCAGTAGGGGTTAGCTACCCCCTCATACTCTACGAATCCCTATATGGCATATGTACCTTAAACCCTATGGCATATGTACCTTAAACCCTTTTAGGGTTCATTTCATCCCGAAGGATGGCCAGGGGCTTGACTGGCAAAGTGCCGCGCAAAGCAGAGCCTCTGAAGCGGCCCCTGCGAGAGATCAGCCGCTCACACCTGACGGAGCACGTTCAGCGTCTCTGGGATCATTACAGCATCCCAGAGTTCCACAGGCAGCTCTACCTCCAGCGATTCGGTGCGGATGACTACAGCTTAGATGTGCTTCACAGGGAGGTCGGGGCACTGGCAAAGGGTATCGCACCTGTGCAGCGGGCGATGCGTGCCATCGCAAATCGCGAGGAGATTCTTCTTCGCTTGGGCGTGTTGCGAGGCGCCTTCGCCGACGCCGAGTTCAGCGTCCCGGGATCCCTGGCCAGGTGCGAGCTGTCCGAGCAGTTCTACAGCCTCCGCATGGCCACTGTAGAAGCCATCCTTGCCCTGGTCGCCTGGCGCCACTCCGTGGCTCCGCGGGCAGGTCCCACGTGCATCGCAGGACCAGGCGCCAGGGGAGCCAGTTGGCCTTTCACCGCGGTCAACGGCGAAAGCTGGCCCGACTACTTCATGCACATCGCAAGCAATGATGCCGCAGTGAGGCAGTTCCAGAATGTAGCGGAGCTGTCAAAGGATTGCGATCCTCTTCTGGTGCATGCTTCCGTGGGCGGCGTTGGTCCCTTCCAAGGCGGCAAGCTTTGCCCACCGTGCTGTGATGCCATGCACAGGCAGAACCTGGATCGTGCGCGGCTGAGTCTCCTCGAGGACGAGCTGGCAAGCGCCCTTTTTCACCCCGTTCGTGCCGGTACACCACAGGACAACAAGTCCAGTTCTTGGAGCACGCCCAGCCCAGACTTGAGGCCGGAGGAGGACTTCCCTAGCCGCCCGAGCTCCCGACTTTTGCAGGAGCTTGCCGGTCCTCCCCTTCTGCCCCCACTGAAAGATGCCCCGACGCCCAGCGTCACGCCGCCGCCGGTGCTGCCTGCCCCCCCAAGCCGGCCTCGCAGTGGGCCTCGCAGACGGAAGCCTCCCATCATCGAGCCGGAAGAGATCGGCGTCCGGCCAGCCTCCTCAACGGGCTCACCGTCCAGCCGCCGAAAAGTGCGGTCGCGACGCTTGTCCATGAGTGGCTTGAAGGTGGGAGGGCGCCGAGGGGCGCTGAAGGAGTCGATCCCCTTGTGGCGAATCGAACCAAGGTTGCCCGAGACAGAACCGGGCCTTGGCCTGGACTCTCCAGAACAAAGCTGCGCCACACCGCCAGATGAGGAGGTGGACAAGGAGCTTCGGGAGCTCATCGCCCTCTCTACAGCCACGAAAAGGCGGAGTTTGACCGACGGCGCTGGAGTGCCCAAGTTGCTGAAGGCCCAGACCGAGCCCCCAGAGTCGCCCCGGTATGAAGCCCCGGCTCCTTCGAGGTCCGCACCACCCAAGGACCTGAAGGACTCCCAGGTTTCGGCACAGACCCCTCCGAGCTCGGCCTCAGACGAGGAGGCGGAGGAGGAGCTCCTGACGCTGAAGTGCGGCGTGGACATGGCAAGGCTACAGTCGGTGTGGAACCGCTTTGAGCATGATAACGTCATCCACCACGACGATGTCTGCATGGCGCTGCAGCGAATTGGCTTCGTCGGCCCAGACAAAGAGTGGGTGGAGGAGGCCTTCGAGAAGGTCACGATGTTCAATGGTGTGAGCCGGGAAGAGTTCATGCAAATCGTTGACTATTACGACGAAAAGCAGCGTGTCCATTTCCAGGAGAAATTCATCAGCTGCGATGCTGATGGGTCGGGTCAGATGGACATCGACGAGTTCGCCGAGTTTCTGCGGGGCATCGGCACAGAGCCCATGAGACATGCTCTTGAGGAGTGCATTGCAGAAATGGATGAGGACGGGTCTGGACAGTTGGACTTCGACGAGTTTTACAAGGTGATGACTCTCCTGGCGCAGCGCGAGGGCTTTTCTCGGAGCGAGGTGGTTGGCTTCGAGGCCGTGTTCCGGAAGTTCGACACCTACGCGAATGACGAAATCGACGTGAAGGAGCTGCAACAGGTCCTCATGTTTGTAGGCATCCCCATTACAGAGGAGGAGTGTCGGGAGGTGGGGGAGGAAATCGACCTGGATGGTAGTGGGTACATCGATTTTCAGGAGTTCCTGATGTGCATGCGGCTGTTTCGGGTCAGCGAGCTTGCCGACTGGAAAGGAAACCTGCAGGAGATTAGTGAAGGGAACGAGGAATCCATCCCTTCCTCGCAGCTGTCGAAGCTCCTGCAGAAGAGCGGCTACTTCACTGAGCAGGCTGTCGTGGATGAAGTGCTTCGCGAGATTGGCCTGGAGCCAGCTGCCAACACCCAAATCGACCTCGGCACACTCTGGAAGTTTCTCGTCGTCTTCCGGGCGCGTGAAGGCCTGTCCTCCGCGGAGATCGCGCGTGTGCGTGAGGCCTTCCGCGGAAAGGCCAGCGGAGATGACGAGGACGAGGACGAAGCAAGAGAGATTGCCACCGACCAAATGCCACAGGTCCTCCGCGTCATCGGCTACTCCTTGGCTCTGGAGGACCAGAAGCAGCTCACCGCGCAAGTGGACGTGGATCGATCTGGAGCTTTAAACCTTGGAGAGCTCTTGAAGTTGGTGCGCTTCGTCAAAGAGCGACGATCCAAGGAGATCCAGGCTGTCTTCTCGAAGATTGACCCCTATGACACGGGGGTGATCTCCGAGCGGGAGGTCATGAAAGCCTTGGCGCAGCTCGGCTGCATACGGGATGCCGATTCAATCCCACTCGGCGTCGCCGAAGAGTCCGTGAATGGCTACTTGGGCCATGCCGGCTTCCTCAAAATAGTACAAAAGTTCGATGATCTGCAGCGGCAGCAGTTGATCAAGTCTGGGGGCTACACTGCCGAGCAGATGGAAGCCCTCAGTCGCCAGTTCCGTTGCTATGACTGGGACGGAAGTGGAGAAATCAGCCAGAAGGAGCTTGTGGCCCTCATCGTAGACGTCTTCCCAGATCTTGCTTTCGATCCAGATCAGCGCCCGCTCTTGGTGCAAATTGTGGAAGGAGCAGATAAAGATAGGAATGGTAAGCTGAACTTCGACGAATTTCTGCATCTCATGAGAACTGTAGAAGATCTGGGCCATCTCACTCAGCTCCAGAAGGAGAGGAGGATTATTGAGGATACTTATTTCAACACCAACGAAGTAAGCGAATTTCGAACAATCTTCCTGGCGCGGACGAAGGGGCAGCCTCGGATGTCGCTGTCCGACTTCAAAGAGCTTGTGAGCCCTGTGTGCCCTATGGGGGACAAGAACAGCCATGAGATCTCGGGCATGTGGCGGGAGATTTGCGGCGAAGTCACGAAGCTGTGCGACTTCCCTGACTTTCTGCTCCTAATGAGGAAAATGATGGACAAAGACTTCTTCCCTATCATGAAAGCCAAACAGCGAAGCCGCAGTAGTCGTAGGGTGCTGGCACACTCTCTGACAGCAGTTTGACAAGGTGGTCCTCGTCGTGCGTAAGACACGCACTGGAGTGAAGGGAGCCGCCGGTAGTGTCCGGAGCGCTGGTGTAGGAAGTTGCTCCTTCTTGGTTACGAGCATGTGGCAGATCTGTGGCCCGTATGACAAGCGCAAGCTGCATTTCTGGTTTTAGCAACCGGCACTCTGGACGGGTGTTTGCCCAAATGTGCACACACACACACACATGACGATGAAAACAGGCATGGCCGCTTCACGCAAAAAGCGAGGGAGTAGCCGAGATGAGCGCTCGAAAAGCGGGCGATGCTTAAAACGTCAAGTCGGTTTGTAAATTCGCAGCATCGCTTGATTTCATGTGACTGGAAGCTGGCGACTAGCTTGCGTAGACAGTTGAATACACCGTAATTGTTCGACAGATGAATGAAGCCTCAAAACCATAAGTCGATAGACACCAATCAACCCGCAGAGCCAGGCAGCTAGCTAAGGAACCAGCCCCATAGACTACATAACTGCTAAGAGACTAATTAACTAGCAAATCAACTGGGCAAGTGGATCGTGATCATCCGTTTAAACGCCGCCAGCTGATGAACCAAGTGTGTTTATGCACCTCTAGCTGTAAAGGCAACCACCAGCTATGTGCAGAACAAGTGAGCTCGCCAATACTTGCAGAACCGCACCGAACGATAGCCGATCGCCGGCTAGGCAATTTTTCGACTGGACACTGTCATGCACACATGAGTCCAAGTTCAGGCAGTCCCAGGTCGGAAAGAAGCGTACAAAATCATACAACCACATGCAATGAACGGAGGCATTCTAGAGCACAACCTACACACATCACACACGGCTCTTCGAGGACCCTGAACCCACAAGGCAAGCAGCTTCCCAAAGCGCCAGAAGCTACAGCCTCGTGACAGGCAGGGAGCGACGTGTCACCATCCAGGAAGCTCCCATCAGCTCCTGCCAAAGTCGGGCCCCTTGCTGCTCTGGGGACTCTAGGGGTTAGGGTTTAGGGCCTAGGGTGTGCTGCTCGTCTTGGCATTAGAGTGGTACCAGTGCCAGTCGCGGCGGAAGCGGCGTTGACGGTGGTAGAGCCGTGTGCTGGAGCAGTATTGACGAACTCAAGATGGTTAAGCAGGCGACACCATGGGACAGCGCAGATGGGAACAACATTGAAAGAAATTCTTCCTCCGCCTCCGCGAGATGGGCGTCTCAGAACATTTTGTGGGAACAGGACGATATCCGACATGGATGCTCTGCGGCAGCGTACGGCACGGCATTAGCCCCCCGCCATGAGATGTAACCTGGGCGCGTATCCCCTCGCAGAGCGTACAGGAACACTGTCAAACGCAGGTGTCTTTTTTCTTACTACAGGCACACAGCTGTAGATCAGTTCTCTGCTAGAACCTTGAGCAAAAGGCATGGATACATGCAAGTGATACATGAAACAGACAGGCACCTGGATGTGTAACATTCAGTGTTTCACCTCCCCCGCCGGTAACCCCGACGTGCCGTCCGTCCCTAGCCATGCAAAAACGAGAAATGCTATCCGTACCTTGGCGCTGGGGGCGCACGCCTCCTAGTGCTACCACTCCTTGTGCTACTGCGAATGCTGCTGCTGCTACTACCACTAACCACTACTACTACTACTACTACTACGACGACGACGACGGCGGCGGCGACGACGACGGCAGGTACATCTAACCCTGCTGCTGCTGCTGCTGCTCTGCTAGTGCTGCGACTACTACCACTCTGCTGGTACGACGACAACTCGTACTCCTATTCCCACTCCGATTCCTATAACCCCTACTCCTCCTACTCCCCCTACTCCTCCTACTCCTACTAACCACCACTACCACGACTACCACGACTACCA